CAATGTATGTTACGATTCGAAGGGATCTTTGTCACAAGGTTGCAGTGCATACCCTTTTAGGAGAACAAAAGACTGCCAAAGCGGAATTTTGTTTGGACATATATGCAAAATATCAAACGATTTTCAAGGTGAGCGTTGCTGCCGCGATTGTGTTCTGTGTTTCAATTCGAAAGCTAGAAAGGAAATAATTTTAAGGATTTGTCTTTATGTCCTATATTGGCGATATTTTAGAGGATATACGCCTTGAACCCCTAGTTCTTCTAGTGTTCCTAAAGATGACATAGTTGATAGCGTTGTCAACTGAAGATTCAATGTCTGACTAGCTCAATGGTCAGCTGCCATCTTTAGGTTAAGTACTAAACACAAAAAATGGGGTGTGTTGACGACACCAAACTTGTCTCATCATTACATTTGGATTCTAGGACATCGGCTACGGAGATACATTTTCATCGGCAGTAGGAGGTTGAATATCTTAATGAGGATGTAGAAGTAATTTCGAATTTGGGTGGAATTAACCAAGTTCAATTCAATACCACAAAATCCCAGGCATCGGTTTTCTCCGAAAAGATAATTGTTTTCGAATCGGATATAATAATGTCAGGTCAGACAATTCCGCTTTCTGCTTCGATAAGTTTGTTGGGGGTTAAAATGGACACCGATATGTATTGGCACAATCCCTTCGCTGGAATTGTAGGGGCTGCTTCTCAAAAGTTTGGAACACTGGAGTATTGTTCTCATGTGTGGATCTCCGTCCCTAAACATACCCTGAAACTGCTGGATTCCATCCAGAAAAGAGCCATCCGCCTGATTGGAGACACGAACATCAACCTTAATAGTCTGGAACATCGAAGAAAGGGTGGAGATTTGTCTCTCTCCTATAGATAATTTCACGGGAAGTGCCTTGGCACATTTGTTCCACCAAGAGCGGTACATATCTGAAATACGAGACGGACTGTGGCTGCTCATCGTTTTGGGGGTCAACTCAGTACACCTCGACCTTCACTGTTTGAGGACTCTTTCATCTGGAGAACTTCGTTTATGTGGAATAAACTTCCTGAGAACGTTTTTCCAAATGGATTTAATTTCCAGCGATTCAAATCCAATGTGAATCGCTACTCTCGCACAGGCACCGCTCTAAGAGCGCCTTAAATTTTTTTCTGTAGTGCTCGTGTTTTGTCTTAAAAAAATCCTATCAGAAAAACTATTGTTGTAAATTATTCCCTGAAAAAAGTAACGCCGACGGACCTTCTCGATCGACTCGACCGCGAGTTGTTCATGGTCGCGTTCAACACTACATGTGCTTCTCGATCCTTCTAGATGTCGCGTCGCTCCAAGAATATTTCTATCGGCTTCTGACGACTTCCTTCGGTATATGTAAGCACTACCAACAGACAGAGGAAGCTAGTCTAGTTGAAAGTGCGGAACGAAGTGAGTTAATAAGCCGGTAGACATTTGAGTATTATCCTGAAGTTCAGTTGAAGTTTTTGTGTTGTATTGACAGTGTAGTAGTGAAATAAAATTGAGTGAGGTCAATTATTGTTGTTTTGTTTATCATTCATCATGAATGAATTATCAGCTTTTTTCTACTCCCTTCTAGAAAATAATATTACCGTGGCTTCTGAAAAACTTATGAGTAGGTGGATATACAGTTTGCAAAGAATAATGCTCAATCACTTTCTGTTCTTCAGGAGTTCCCAATTTCTTCTGGAAACAGCTGCAATCCTTTCTTTACCACTAATGATGTATCGAATGATCAATCTATCGTACCTCACTTCGACATGTTTGATACGAACTCTTTCACAAATGATTGAGAAGTTACTGTTCTGATTTACAATTATAAATATAGGCCGTCTAGATAACAAGAAATTACTGACATGTTATTATTTTTGAAAAGAATGAACTTTGTGAATCGTAAGGAAAGCTATCGAAAAAAGTTGTACTGTTTGGAACCCTTGAAAGTTTGAGTTTTCTCAAGGTGTTGTAGATAGTTTTTTATCTGTTTCTATGGTTATGTTTGCTTTCGTCACCACCCTTAACAGATTTTGTTCATGTGAAAGTAGTTTCGAAAGGGCTTTTTCTTTCAGTTTGTATATGAAGGAAATTTCTGCGCATAATCGACACATCTTCATCAACAGTTTATTTCAAAGTAAATAACTTTCTCTCTAACATTTTTTAAATGGATATGAGGTATTAGAAAGCTTTTTTCCCATTTATCTGTGTATTCAATGAATCACACAATATTTTCATACTTTGTTGTTGAAGAGAGTTGGATAAATTAATAAAACTTAACATGATATAAAAATAAAAAATGGATTGATAGTTATTTAAAATTTTTTCAGAAGAAAACCAGAATTTTATTCAATACTACAATTTTTTATCTCCTTTTTTAAAATTTCTTAATAGAAATGAATGAAGATACTAAAGAATTGATACTAAACACATTAACAATGTTGAATTTGCTTATTTCACAACACAACAAAAAAATATTTTTTGAATGTTTCCTACACTAAATTAGTCAATTTCTACTAATTTTGGGGTGATAAAAACGAAAATAACAATGAAAAATTTTTATTAGCTCTGGTTTTTGAGATACACAGTACTTAATCTTAAAGAGTAGTTATACTATACGTGAAAAGTGAAAGTACATAAAACAATATTGTTATGTTTCTTTTAGAAT